CAATTGGCGGTTTTGAGTAATACTCGTAGTTTGAGTAATAGTAAGAAGTTTAACATATCAGTTATTAAAGAAAAAAAGAAGCTTGTATGAGAAGTAATTGACTACGGACCTTGACCGCTCAGATTTCAAGAAATCGTGCTAATCACCGCCCTTATTTTTCTTCTTCGTCAGCCCATAAAATCTTTTTTTGGACTTGAGCTATTCTTCCCATTGTAGGGGACTGGTTTTGCCATAATCTTCAGGCGTAGCGGGCGGATTGATAATCTCAGTACCAGTCCTCTACCCATTATCACCGTCACCACCACTACCGTATATTCTCAACCTCTGAACTAAATATATGAAACACAATTACACCTTTATGTGTAAATTCTGTTAAGTAAGACAATCATTTCGCCATCTACCGGAAGTTATACGATTTTCTGCCATTTTGTAGTTAGTTTCTGACACTTAAGATGTGACTTATGCACATACTTTTAGAATAAGAAGATAATTATGTTGTCTATATTTAAATTGTATAAAGCGGATGCAGATGACTATATACCGCATTCTTGTTAAATTTAACAAGGGCGCGACATCTATTGTTAACAAACAAAATCACGGTGTTTGAACGTATTTTCGCTATTCAACGCTAGATGTCGCTAAAATTTAAAATAAAAACAAGTAAATAGATTGTCCGTAAATTATGGAATAATAATTAATAATAATTTTATTACATCAGTAATTTGTATGGGCCAATGAACCATCCAGATTGTCATCAATGGCCTATCCAGAAAATCCAGATTTCGCCAAAGCCCCGAGAATAACTGAGATAGAGCACGAGAATGTAGATGCGTTGTCACCCGTGAGGACTAAGATGGAATGCCTCATTTCCAGTAAAAAGGGCCTCCGGCCACCTGCACTCACCAAGTGAAACGCAGAGGTAAACCTCTACTTCACGCTGGTTTCCTGTGAGGTCGTGGTACCACCCCGGTTCGAGCCGGCCCATCCCTGCGACGGCAAAAGCTGCCGCGTGGCTCTACCACTGTATAAATATATATTTATGTTTTTCCTCCGTTCCTCGGAAAGCACATAAAGCCACGTCTTGCGCTTGATCTATCTGGTCGTGTACAAAGGATTCCCATCGGACCACAAGAGTGATGGAATACAGACTAAGTGTACTACCCGTGCGGTTAAAGAATGGGATTGAAAATGGCGTCGCCTCTATTTAACTCACGCTCGCACACTGTCTCTATCTATACTCACACACGCCAAATAAAAGATTTAAAAGCCAGTCTAAGGTAAATAGTGTTTTATGGTCTGTGGGGTCTCAACACAGAACACTGTTACTCAGAAGATACACGAGTTCAACAAGGTCTCAGTCAAAGATTAAAGTAATTTTATACGGGAGCAGGGAGCCTTAGTGTGATAAAAGCATTGAAACACAGAATAAATAATAGTACTAGGTACGTAACTAAAGTTAAATACTCTGTACCCATGTGCAGTCTAGTCTACGCCTCTTCAATATTTAATGTCCGGTAAGTCAGCGGCCCGCGTTGCTTTAATTTTTTTGTTATAGGATAGGGTGACAAACGAGCACACAGTCCACCTGATGGTAAGTGGTTGCTGTGGCCCATAGACATCTACATCTATCCTCGTTTGCGAATCAAAATGCAGATGCGTTGTCACCTGTGAGGACTAAGATGGAATGCCTCTTTTTCAGTAAAAAGGGTTTCCGGTTCTCTACACTCACCATACGAAACACAGCAGTGTTAAGCTGCTATTTTACGCTGGTATTCTGTGGAGCGTGGTCCTTCCCCGGTCGAGTCAACCCATTCGTGCTACAACTATACTACTAATATAGCTGCAGCATGATTCTACCACGTTTAAGTTTTAGATTTATGTCAGTAATAGTATAAATAAATCTAAATCACATCTATTCTACTCTACACCACCGCGAGAGAAGAAGAAAAAAAATTCTGTGTTTCAATGCTTTTATCACACTAAGGCTGCTGCTCCCGTATAAAATTACTTTAATCTTTGACTGAGACCTTGTTGAACTCGTGTATCTTCTGAGTAACAGTGTTCTGTGGCTGAGACCCACAGACCATAAAACACTATTTACCTAAGACTGGCTTTTAAATCTTTTATTTGGCGTGTGTGAGTTTAGATAGAGACAGTGTGCGAGCGTGAGCTAAATAGAGGCGACGCCATTTTCAATCCCATTCTTTAACCGCACGGGTAGTACACTTAGTCTGTATTCCCTCACTCTTGTGGTCCGATGGGAATCCTTTGTACACGACCAGATAGATCAAGCGCAAGACCAATGGCTTTATGTGCTTTCCGAGGAACGGAGGTAAAACACATAAATATATATTTATACAGTGGTAGAGCCACGTGGCAGCTTTTGCTGTCGCACGGATGGGCCGGCTCGAACCGGGGTGGTACCACGACCTCATAGAAAACCAGTGTGAAGTAGAGGTTTACCTCTGCGTTTCGCTTGGTGAGTGCAGGTGGCCGGAGGCCCTTTTTACTGGAAATGAGGCATTCCATCTTAGTCCTCACGGGTGACAACGCATCTACATTTTGATTTGTAATAGAGGATAGATGTAGAAGTCTATGGACCGCAGCAACCACTTACCATCAGGTGGACTGTGTGCTCGTTTGTCACCCTTATCCTATAAAAAAAATCGCCATTTTCCTGAGTCCGTGCTGCTTGGGTAGATCTTGACTTCTTCTTATTAATTTTTAACAATTTTAAATTAATTAGCCAAGTTTCTACACGGATATTGGCTAATTAATTTATAAGATCTTTAATTTATTTTCTATTAATACCTGTGTTATGGTTCTTCAAATACCTAACCTCTCTTCTTTCTTTTATTAATTTCGTCCGTAATTAAATATAAATATTATATTTCAAAAAAAATCCTTCTTTAAAATATTAAGCAATACCGATATTACGTAAAGCTTACATACAACTATGTTATAATGTCAAAACGGCACGAAATCTATCGACATAGGACGCTAAATGAACGTATATACATTTATAATTTTACCACATAGGTTATTAACGGACGCTAGACATTAACGTTAGGTGTAGCACCAGTATAAAAATGGCGTCAATTTGTTACGCAACAATTAACAGTATCAGGTAGTGTAACTGTAATCTAATGACGTAAATTACGTCGGTACGTCCAGTTTCAAGTGATTACACTATCGGGAAGCACGTGCATTATTTGGTAACATATGTGTTATCTCCGTTATTTAACAGGGTAAATAGTTTAAATCTTTGAGAAAATTTACAGCAGTTTTGTGTTATTTCATCCTGACGACTACATAAAATAATTTGAACAGAAAAAGTAAGTAAAAACAACAGCATCATTGATTTACGTATAATTTACTACGTGTTTCACTAACAAAAATAATATGAAATACCGTGAACCGAGTCCGCTCAAGTGCTGCGCGTGACAGTTTGGACGAGGCCACAGCCACACTGATAAACTGATATCACTCGTTCATTAATTGAACGCCATTGAACGTGCTGTTTGAGCGCTAAATATTTATCATTATCATAAATAAAAGCTTTTAAAAAATTTACTTCGCAAACATCCGCGCTATAAAATAAAATGATGTGTCTTACCTAGTATGAAGAGCACCTCCCGCCCTCCAGATGCGGTAAGACACATCATTTTATTTTATAGTGCGGATATTTGCGTAGTAAATTTTTTAAAAGCTTTTATATAATGGATTTCCGCAAAGTAACGCCTGATTCTATTAATTATATTATCATAAATGATAATTATTAGCTATTAGTATAATATATGAATCCTAATGCATTACTTACTATACTACACCGTACACATAATATACATGTCGATGCGTTACAGCCAAAATGAATAACTGCAACTTTACAAACTTTATTATACAAAAAAAAATCTTATAAATTCTGTTAGCTTTTAAGTTATTTTTCTACAACTAATTTACTAACCAAAAATGTAGAGTATGTTCAGATGACAGGCGTTAGTCACGCTTACAAGTACAACTACGAGGTTATTACTAATTACGCCTAGGTCAAAGATGTTTTAAAATATCTTTGGCCTAGGTGCTCTTATGCTAATGCGTGCTTTGAGTCCCACCAAATACTACAATAATGTGGCTACAGTTTAAGGATGATGCGGCGCCGGGCCGGGTCATTGTTAATTTGTCAACGCACTTCACGTGCGTCAACGCGCACTTTGTTATCATTACGTATGTATGTAATTACTCTAAGGTTAAGAAAGAAACATTTACATATTATACAGAAAAGTTAGCACATCTAAACTTGACCTTGTATTTTCAAAAAGAAACTGAAAAAAAAACGGATATTCAAATAAATTGTGTCCTAATTGCTTAACAAAAAAAATCAAATAAGGAAAAACCATGAGTCTCAGTTGGAAATATTAAACTGGTTAACGTTTAAACAAAAAAAAAATACAAAAAAAAACAAATACCATAAGTCTCAGTTGGAAATATAATTTTTTATCTAAAAAACAGAAAAGCATCAAAATATTTGTTGTTTACAACTAAGGAATCAAGCTGCTACGAATTTAAACTGCCTAAACGATAAAAAATATGTCATAGTACCTTGAGACTTACAACAAAAACATGCAGAAAAAAAAGCCGATAAGTAGTAACGATATAATATTTTTTATTTAATTATTTATTTTATTATATCCACTTACTACTATCACAGGATTGCCCTTATACGATAGATAAGTCAGACTTTAGTTATGTTAGATATCTATATTAACTAAAACAGAAATAACAAGGTAGCCTTTGTGAACGTATTCTTTTGAAGTTCGTTTGAGAAAATCCAAATAAATCAATGACGATTCCGCAAAAAAATGTCGCTTATGCCTTTTTGGCTATAAGACATCGATGTATTATATACACATACATATATGCTTTAGTTGTATCTTTATTTGCTTCAGGTGGAGATAAAAATATCCTTATAAATTGAATAAAAACTATTTATTCCTCGAAACATGACACTGAAAAAGGTTCTTATAGTTAGTAAAACGTTTCCAGCGATTGGTTTAGAGATATTAAAAAGGAAGTAAGTATTTTATAAATTTTTTGTTATTAAAATGTGTGTAAAATATTATAACTTTTGACGTAAATAATATAAATCGTGTAATGGCGGTGTGAGAATATCCACTACCCATTATCGTCCCGTGGGTATCTTATGAGGCGACAGAGGGAAACAAACTAGAAAATGGGGAGCAGCGTCTTCCTAATAACAAACAAAAATTTAAAAAAATACTGGCAACTATAGCAAATATCTATGAGGCAATCTATGAGGGAGGCCTATGTTCAGCAGTGGAATTTTGATAACCTGTAAAGGTAAGGTTATGATGTATTATTACTCATTACGGGTGGCGTTACAGAATCTATGAACCCATTTCCTCCCCCGGGTTTTGTAAGAGCTAATTATGGGAAAATATAAAGATGCCTGTGGTCTTCTATAGATGGCGTTGTATCTACTTTTTTTTAGAATAAGGGTGACAAGCGAGCACACAGTCCACTAGATCATCTCGATTAAGAATCAAAGTGCAGATGCGTTGTCACCTCTGAGGACAAAGATGGAAAACCTCGTTTCCAGCAAAAAGGGTATCCGGTTCTCTACACTCACCATACGAAACACAGCATCATTAAACTGCTACTTTACGTTGTTCTGTGAGAGCGTGGTCCTTCTTCGGCGGAATCGACCCTTTCGTGCTACAAACATATGTATTGCTGTAGCGTGGCTCTATCACGTTTATTTCAAGAGAGCCTTGTGAAAAAACAACATAAACTGTCACCCAGAGGGGTAGGCAGAGACTATGGACTTCCATTTGGCACGATCCTGACACACCTCTCTCGCCTCCTCCACATCCATATACCTACGCTTACACGCTCGTCGGTTAAGGGTACTCTTAATTTGGCCCATTTTCAATATATCGCCAATTTGGTCGATAAACTTTCGCCTACGGCGTCGCTTCCCGTCTCTGCCGTTCACCTTCGCCTTGTAACCAAAATGAAAAATGTCTACGAAAGACGGGTAAAGATCAAACATTATTTATTTTATTTAATCTCTGAGGTAAGCGACATTGTACACCGCCAACTATGGGAAGCCATAAGATTTTAGTGGCGTTTCAAATAGTCTCCTCTTAGAATATCCACGAAACGAAACGGAGTGATTCTATCACACTGTCAGCACGCGTTAGGCGCGCTTATCCTAATGATTTCTTATGTTTACGCGAACACTACACATTTAAATTAAACTATTTTTTACGGATTCGCGTATATTAACTTATTTTATAATTATATAAAAAAGTATAATTTTAATCTGGAGGTTAGGAGGAGGTAGCCGTGGTTAACTATGACATTGGGACGTCGAACACCTCAGTCTAGTTCCATGACCATGGGTGCTGTAAATTACTCGAAACGGGAATATATAATTCAAAATTAAAAATTTTGTACAACCGACTTCAATATAAATTATTAAGAATAACTCAAAAACTATTAGTCAGACCTTGATCAAATTTATATGGGACCACATGTGAAGCACCAGCTTTCAAATATATAAAGAGAGTCATCGAAATCGGTTCACCCAGTAAAAAGTTATGAGGTAACACACATAAATAACATACCTACAGTCGAATTGAGTACCGGCTCCTTTTTGAAGTCGATAGAAAATAAGTTATTAGACGCTATAAAATCAATAAAAACTAGTTTTATTTATATCACTTAACCTAAGTTACCTTAATTCACTTATACATGTGATAATATGGTGGCATCAGTCGATCTTCGAGACGATCGCAAATTCGTCTTCCACCACGGCGATTTTGGAAAATTCCTTATTACATTAGTCAAATGATGGATACGAACTCGGGATTTTTTAGCTTCACCGTCTATACCCTCAACCTTTAAAGTTTAAGTACTTTAATCATTAAAGATTAAAGTTTAAGGTTTAACGGTATGGACGACGACTTAATCACGAAAACATTCATATTATACAGGATTCGATAGTATTTGACTGTACATCATAAGCTGTAATGGCAATCAGCCGGCCATAAAACTCAAAGAACTGACTACTGATGGGGAAGGAAAGTTCTCGAGTACCTTTTTTTTAGTTGATTTAACCTAGTGTTGGGTAACCCCTCATTGGATATAGTGACGACCTGATGAAACACGCAGAGAGTCGAGAAATGAATGTGGTTCAGTATCGCGGTTCAGCAGTGGACTCGTGATGTAATGAAATGATGAACGTTTGTGAATAATGTGATTTGATCTTTTAAGAACGGAGCCATTTGTTGTTCCATTTTTTGAACATGAACTGGAGAGTTTGCCAGAAATTAAGAAGTTACTAAAGAAAGGCTACGACGCCGTTATATGGAACACTAAACATCGACTTACAAGAGACATATTAGATCTAGCAGGTAAGACGAAACATCCTTAGTACACAATTGTATGCGCAAGCACATATGTGCACTCTCTATTCTCTCACTCTCATAACTCGAAAGGACGGTCCGGCTTTACGTGTCTTCCGTGACATGGTTGCGAAACCGCCAACTTCCTGACTCCGGGCTGCCATTGAGAATGTCTTTTATAGACACAGAAATCCCATAACCGATTTTGGTCTAATCTGGGATTCGAACCTGGGATCACCTGAGACAGTCAGTTCCTAAAAAAAAAACAATATAAAGAGACTTAATAATTACAGTCAGCTTGTGATCAGCACATAAACTTATGTGAGCCTATAAGTATACGGGAAGTTAAAAATCATCAACCAAAAATGTATGCAACTAAACCTTTACTGGCTGTATTTAAAAAGTCAAAGGGAGTTTGAGTGACGAAAAGGGAAAACGAGATTTGTCTGCGTGCTAAAATCCATAAATCTGCAGTAGAACAAAATAATTGACACGAATTAAATGGCAACCCTCGTTCTTGAGAAAAAACACTAATTCCTGTAATTAGTGTTTTCTGTTTTTCCTCAGGAACGGAATTGGTAACCCCTAATTTTTTTGTAGGAGTAAGAGTGACAAACAAGTCTACAGTACACCTCAGGTTAAGCGGATGACAGCATCCGCAGGTCTCGTAGCCCATAAACGCAATCTAGTTATGGTTACACCAGCACCACCCATAATACAGATAAAACGTCCATCAGCATAAATACACAAATGCTGAGTATGTAGTAATTTAAGTAGACTGTAAGCTTAGGATTAAGAATTGTAAAAGACAATGACCAGAATAAATTCGCATCTCTCTCTGTGAACACGTAGTTTGTATTTAGTTTTAAAAAAGCTCTCGGCAGCTCCCGCAACTTGACTGGCGCAGCCGGTAGGATCACCGGAAAAGCTGTGCCACCGTTCGTGAATATCGCGTATATAATTTTACTCATTTTCGCGTATCGGCGGACGATCCATACAGCGTGGTGATCCAGCGAACCAAAACAAATTCGTCGAGAATAAGGAGCCGTGAAGCTGATGATGGGCACTGCGGGCTGGTGAGTACGACTCTTCACCTCCTTCATATCCCTTAGTAAACTTGGAATTAGACATTTTCCATTTTGACTGTTATTTGGGTTTCAAATACCAATCTTACGTAAATTTTATAAAGTATTAAGTGCAACAAATAACTACTACTTAAATAAAAATTAAAATAATATTAATTTAATTGTAAGACGTACATAATATTAAGTCACATATTACTCAATAAAGTTATAGAATATATTATATTAAGTATTATACATTATATTAAGTTCTTATTGTGTATACATTTGTTTGTTAATTTAAAGATTACTCGACACGTTAATACATAATAGATTAGTACTTATACTCGAATTTTCCTTACAACATTTGTGGAACTGGTAGAGTTATAATAAATATTTTATTTTATTTTTTTATTTTTGTGTAGAACCAGTGAATAAATTATTAAAAATGTCGGAAATCAAACTTATCCCTAACGAATTAACTAAAATAATACCAACATTTAGCGGCGATAAGCGCCATTTAAATTTATTTTTGCGTAAATGTGAATATATAATAAGTAACTTTAAATCATCCGATGTGCAAAATGAATATATAATGCAAATCATTACTAGTCGTCTTACGGGCGAGGCTGCGTCGCTTATCAGTGAACGGGAAGATATAGAGACGTGGGCCGAATTCAAGGAATTGTTTTTAACTCACTTCGGCGACCCACGTAGCGAGGAATGTTTAGCCATAGAATTAGAAACTTTAAAGAAACACCAAAATGAAAATTATACAGATTTTTGTGGTCGTATACAATCCGTTAAATCAGTGCTATTATCGAAGGTTAATCAAATTGATGATAAAAACTTAAAAATAAGTAAAACTATTATTTACAATAACACCGCTCTGCAGGTTTTCTTATACAATTTATCCGAAAATATGGTGCGCATTGTTAGGTTGAAAACACCCAGTACACTAGAAGAAGCACTAAGTATAGTTCTAGAAGAAGTAAACTTCTATGACCAATATCAGATGCGTAGTAAAATGTTACAGTCTAGCCATACGTCTAAGCCACAGTCTAGTAGTACACTAGTGCAACAACCATCGTTTAAGTTCGCAATGCCAACACAGCCTACAGGTTTTAGACCAATGTTAGCACAAAACCAACCCCCTAGGCAGAATTTCGGAACACCACCTCAATTTAAGTTTGGCATTCCCAATAGTAGACAAATGAAGATTCCGTTACCACAAAATAAGCCTCAACAGCAAATGAGTTTCCCTAAGCAATATCACCCACCTCAGTTTGGATACCGACCTAATTTTGGATACCGACCAAACTTTGGATTTAGACCCCCGGGCTATAGCCCCATGCAACCAATGTTACCACAACAGTTTGGTAACTCTCAGCGTTTTAATTATCCTAATAATAATAATAATGTGCATAATAAGCCGGTTTCTAATGATACTGATGTTTCTATGAGAACTGCCCCTCCAAAGCCTTTTCAACCAGGTTTCCGCCTAAACGAATTAGAAATTTATCCATCATACTATCCCTACGAATTTCCTCAAAATTACATGTATGAGGAACCATACGAAAATTATTATGAAGATGAATCCATACAAGAAAATTCTCTAATAGAGGCCGAAGAAAACAATGATTCAGAGGATAATGACATATCGGCACAGACTGAAAATTTTCAAGTAAAAGCCTCCGAAAACCACCCGAAATAATAGAATTGAATTGCGACATAAATCTAAAACTACCATACATATATATACCGGAAATAGATGCTATCTTTATGATAGACACAGGAAGCACCCGTTCTTTTATAAGCCCCGATAAAGCACATCAATACTACCGTAACTATATAACGAATGAACCCTTTAAGGTTATAAGCACTCACGCATCTAGTGAACACAATCAGGTAATTAAAATTCCACTATTTTCTATATTTCAAAGTAATGACGAACATAAATTTTATCTTTATAATGTCGATTCACGTTATGATGGGTTAGTTGGGAATGATTTATTAAAGCAGTTGGAAGCTGTAATAGATTTAAAGAAACAAGTACTTACTACAAATTCTTCTAGAATACCGATAATACACAATAGCTTAGAACATGTAGTAATACTTCCACCTCGTTCTGAAGTCAGAGCAAAATTACCTGCTAACATGTTTTATGGCGAAGGAATATTAAATTATACCCGATTCTGTGACGGGGTGCGCACGCCTTCTGCATTGGTAAAATGTGAGAAGGGCTATGCCACCACAATTATACAAAATACGTTAGATCAACAAATGGAACTATCTATTAAGAAACCTTTTGAAATTTATGAATGTGTGGATGATAAATCGTATGTAAATTCTATAGATCACTCTGATCTAGAAACGGACCAGTTATTGCTTGAAAATTTAAACAAGTTACGACTAAACCATATGAATGAAGAGGAAAGACATAACATTCGTAAACTATGTGAGGAATACAAGGATATATTTTATTGTGAACGGATACCTTTGAGTTTTAGTAATCAGGTTAAACACTTCATTCGGACTAAAAACGAGGACCCTATATTCACAAAACCTTACAGACTAGCCCCCGTCCAAGTAACAGAGATAAACAAGCAGGTCGATAAACTTCTATTAGATAATGTAATTCAGGAATCTTTCTCCCCATGGAATTCTCCCGTACATCTTGTTCCAAAAAAGGCTGATGCTTCGGGCGAAGTTAAATACAGAATGGTCATAGATTACAGAAGGCTAAATGAAATTACAATTGATGATAAGTACCCCCTTCCAAATATCGCAGACCTTTTCGATAAACTAGGTAAGAGCACTTACTTTTCGACACTCGACCTGGCCAGCGGCTATCACCAAATTGAACTTAATGAAGATGACCGACAGAAAACTGCCTTCAGCACCCAAAATGGGCACTATGAGTTCCTGAGGATGCCATTTGGATTAAAGACAGCCCCCGCCACCTTTCAAAGGGCTATGAATAACGTCTTAAGAGGGTTGCAAGGAATCCATTGCCTTGTGTACCTTGACGACGTTATTATCTTTTCCGCTAGTCAACAAGAACACATGGAGAAACTCCGTACAGTTTTTGACCGACTTAGAAAGACTAACATGAAAATACAATTAGACAAATCTGAATTTTTCCGAAAAGAAGTTTTATATCTTGGACACACCATAACTAAAGACGGACTGCGACCAAACGACGACAAAATTAAGGTAATACAGAATTATCCTCTTCCTAAGACAACCACCGAAATCAAAAGTTTCCTTGGGCTGGTTGGATATTATAGAAAATTTATAAAGGACTTTGCGAAAATCACACAGCCCCTAACATCGTGTTTAAAGAAAAGGAATAAGATAATTATAGACCAAAATTATATAGATGCTTTTCATAAATGTAAAGAAATATTGACCAGTGTCCCACTACTACAATACCCTGATTCGACTAAACCGTATATATTAACTACCGACGCTTCGAATGTAGCTCTTGGTGCAGTATTATCACAAGGACCAATAGGGTCAGATAAGCCTATTGCATATGCCAGCCGCACACTTAGTGACACCGAGTCACGATACAGCACAATAGAGCGCGAACTTTTAGCCATCATTTGGGCTGTAAAGCATTTTAGGCCCTATTTGTATGGACAAAAATTTCAAATTTATACAGACCATAGACCCCTTGCTTGGCTCTATTCCCTTAAGGAGCCTAACAGTAAACTAACACGCTGGCGTTTGCGTCTTCAAGAATACGATTTTACAATCGTCTATAAAAACGGCAAACAAAATACCAATGCTGATGCCTTGTCTCGCATAAAACTTAATGCTTTAGACAACGCATCAATGGATGTTAATGTGGATGACGATGACATACAAAAAGTAATACGTCAACTGAAAGAACTTGAAAAATACAGACCTAAACCTCAACCAGAGACAGAGATAATTTCAGACTCAGACTCGAGTGTAACGGATCATATAGAATTGTTCGAAGAAAACTACCCTGTACCATCTGTAACTAACAGTAGTAGCACAGACACGATACATTCAAATGTTGAACCCGAGTCAACAGCAATCCCAATTTTGAGCGAGGCAATAGATACCAAACCAAATCATATCCTAGTATTTTCTTGGTTCCAAAATAAATAAAACTACAAGTCAGAAATTTATCTAGAAAAAAACAAAAAGTACTAGAGGTATTTCTCCCACTAGAAAACGAAGAATTAATAAAACAATTTTTAAAGGAATATATAAAATTTAAGAATCTAGAGAAATTATTTGCAAAAGTTATTATAGAACTCTTTAAGAAGGATGCAGTACAATTCTTTGAATGTACACATCGCGTAGTATATGTGGAGGATGAAAAAGAACAAAAAGCTGTCATTCTCAAACACCATGAAGGAAAAACATGTCATCGCGGTGTGAAAGAAACTATGATAAGATTACGCAGAAATTATTATTGGGAAAATATGCAAGACACTGTAGCTGCCGTTATAAATGCTTGTGAACCGTGCAAATTAATGAAGTACGATAGGAAACCAATAAAACCTATACTACAACTCACATCAACTCAGGATGCGCCTTTTCAGGAACTATTTATAGATTTATTTACTATTGAGAAGAAGTATTATTTAACCGTTGTGGATGCTTTTAGCAAATTAGGGCAGGCCTTAGAGATTGCGAGTCGACAAACCACTGAAGTAGTGCGAGCATTAATTAAATATTTTTCTATGTACGGAATTCCTAAGAAAATATCAGCTGATCCAGGCACTGAATTCAATAACGAACTTATGCGCCAGCTCCTATCTATGTATAAAATAGAAACTCATATCACAACTCCCAATAACCCCAATTCGACAGGCATTGTCGAAAGATTTCATTCCACTATAATTGAAATATACAGACTTGCAAAATATGAACATAAATGCACAGACGCTGCATCTGTCATGACATATTCAGTCATGGCATATAATCATACTATTCATTCAACGACAGGATTAACACCCTTTGAAGTAGCATTTGGTCATACCGATTCTGGTAAAATATTCGACGTAGATTTTGAAAAGGCATATACACAGCAACTCATTAAAGACCACGCGAGACGAACCAAATACTTATATAGGTATATTTCCGAAAAAGTCCATACAGATAAAGAAAAGGTTAGGAAAAAGAAAAGCGGGGAATCTGGAATTGATCTTAAAGAAGGTGATATGGTTTTTGTTAAAGATATTAACATAAGGAAAAGTAAGGATAAACCTAGGTATCAAAAGGCGAAAGTGCAAGGTGATGTTGAAAGAAACATAATACCTGTAACGATAGGGAAAAGAAAAACTAAAGTGCACCTCAAAAATGTGAAACGCCCTCCACAGGTTGTTGGCGATCTTCGTGAACCTGAATCTGATGATCCAGACCCAAGGCCTTCAACTTCTAAAGATTGAGCATAACCCAGGCATGTTACCCGTAAAGCAAGGACAAGCATACAAGGAAGTAGATAAGTGGGTTATAATTAAGCAGTTAGACTTTAGTAGCATAAAAGATGATTTAAATTTTAATATCAATAAATATAAAGAATTTAGCAGTTTAGTAGACATCCATAAGCCATACGTAAATGAATTCCAAAATATGAAAACACAAGTAAATTATTTAAGTAACTTAGCTGTAGAAAAGTTTAAACAACTCATACCTTCGATACGTTTCAAGCGCGGTCTTATTAATCCATTAGGTTCTGTTATCAAAACGCTTACAGGAAATTTAGACCACAATGATGCAATAAAATACGACAATCTCATATCTCAATTAAAGACCCAACAAACGCACACTAATAAGAAAATAACAATAATCTCGGAGATGCTTAACTCTCTTATAAATAGTACTGGATCTCTACAGGAAAATATGAAAATTATAGATGAACGAATGAAACGTATAGAAAGAATTGTAAAATATATAATTACTAAAGACGATAATAGCATATACTCCACATATGTTTTAAGTATGTTTAACATGTTTGTCAATAATTTTAGAACTATATACTTAATTTTAAGCGAAATAGAAACGGCGTTAGCATTTACTAAACTTCACGTTCTACACCAAGCCATTGTTAATTCCACTGAATTATTAGTAATATTAGAATCTATATCTCAAACAAATAGTTTATTGTATCCTATTACTGAAAACAATTTAGTTAATTTAGAAAGATCTATGTCTGTTAAGGCCTATGTAAAAGAAAACCAAATAACGTTCATCATGGAAATCCCTCTGACTGATAATATTACATACACTTATTTTAAAATGTATGCCTTACCTATGTTTGATCCCACCTATAATAGAACAACTGTTATTTTTCCCAAATATCCTTACCTCATGGTGAAAGATCACACGTACTTACCCTTAGATGGCCCATGTCAGGAGATAGCAGCAAACCAGGTTTCTGTGTGAAGAAATTGATATCGTGCAGTATCCTGAAAACACATGCATAGAACAACTTATGAACTTCGCATCAAATCTAAGCCTTTGTAAATTATCAATAGTAGAGCTGGAAAGTGTTAAGATACAGTCTATTGGTCCTATTAACTGGATCCTATTTACACAAAATGAAATAGTGCTTACAAAAACGTGTGGCGATGACACTCAAAGAAATGCTGTAAAGGGCACTTACCTCTTGGAAATCGATGAAAACTGTGAGATAAAATTAGGCAATATTAAATTACACCGGAAACGATACTACTCAGGAAAACTGCAATATAAGGTGACACCAATTTTAACTCTACCCAAATTGATAGAGCAGCCTACAAATGCGGAGAAAACAGTGAATTTAAATCGCGTTAATTTGGACGAACTAAAATATCTCTCGTACAAACTGAAAAGCGAAATAGTGGAAAGTGAAAGTGAAAGCTTAGTGAAAAAGAAAAGTGTTAGTTTAGCTACTGTACTACTCTATGTTATATTAGTTTTAATTATTCTTATTGTTGTAATTTGGAAACTTAAGTCTAAGCTCCTACATTGTATGCAAAATCATCGGAATCCAAATCTTGCCGATAACTTTGCAGTCGAGGATGGAGGAGTTATGGTTACACCAGCACCACCCATAATACAGATAAAACGTCCATCAGCATAAATACACAAATGCTGAGTATGTAGTAATTTAAGTAGACTGTAAGCTTAGGATTAAGAATTGTAAAAGACAATGACCAGAATAAATTCGCATCTCTCTCTGTGAATACGTAGTTTGTATTTAGTTTTAAAAAAGCTCTCGACAGCTCCCGCAACTTGACTATCTATCCTCGATTTAGAATCAAAATACAAATGCATTGTTACACCCGAGGAACTGCCCATGGTGAACTGCCTCGTTCAGCTCTGGGTTCTAGCCCTTCTGAGCCTAATCACTTTATCTAGACTTGATACAAAGAAGGCGACAAATGCGTTTTCTGAGAGATGGAATTTGTCACGACCTGTAATTATACTAGATTTCGATATCCTTCAGATCAGTACAAAGCAGTAGAAGCACTGCACTGGTGGCGGAAATAGGTAAAAGCGTGGTATCTACCCAGACGGACTTTTAGATAGAAAAGGAATCCCTTCACGTTGGTATTATATTGCCCGTGGCTCTTCTTTGATCTTTTCTAACAATATTTGACACTACTAAACGTGTTAGAGCCATGCTGCAGCTATATTAATAGTATAGTTGTAGCACGAATGGGTCACCTCGTCCGGGGTAGAACCACGCTCTCACAGAATACCAGCGTAAAATAGCAACTTAACACTGCTATGTTTCGTATGGTGAGTGTAGAGAACCGGAGACCCTTTTTACTGGAAAAGAGGCATTCCATCTTAGTCGTCACGGGTGACAACGCATCTGCATTTTGATTCGCAAACGAGGATAGATATGTAAATGTCTATGGGCCAAAGCATCAGGTGGACTGTGTGCCCGTTTGTCACTATAAAAAAAAAACTATGTCCCCCTTGATGTACAAAATAATTATTTTCTTCACTTAGGTCCACAGATTAAGGCGATATCAACGATGTCATCGGGTACGGATCATGTGGATTTGGATGAAGTTTTCAAACGTGGCTTGCTCATCGGTAACACTCCTCACGTACTTGACGACGCTGTGGCTGACATCACTGTTGGACTCATGATAGCAGCTGCTAGAAGATTTAAGGAAGGCATCGCTGAGATTATGAAGTAATTGGAAAAACAAACTTAGTAAAATATAGTAACATCTAAAAACTTTCAAATTATTTTCTTGTGTAATCTTATTTTTAAATACTTACTTCATATATCATACACGTATAATGATATTAGATGAAGAACTATATATATAATAGAAATAGAAACAGAAACTTTTATATTAAATATAGATTATAAAGAACACTTATTGAAAGTTACTCTATATTTAATTACCACTGGTTCGGAAAAAACCTCTGTCCTGGGAAGAACCAGCAAGAAACCCAGCGAGACTTTTTTTAAATAACAGCTGACGATCATGTATGTTATACAATTAACAACATAAAACAAATTAGAAATAGCCTGGTAGCGATTACCTCATTCCCAGGCGTTATTATCATCCGTAAATTCCTTAATATTATAATAACCTTTTTTATACAAACTTAGTTTAATAAAGTTTTTGAACTTTGAGCATTTCAAATTTTGTATATTTTCTGGGATTTTGTTCTAAAAGCGTGTACATCGCTGATTCGGTGGAGTCGAGTAACTGGTCATAATAATAATTATCAAAGTAATGTATGATTCTTTGTTGGTCTGAGCATACAATGGAGTATATAATAATGGCTTTTATTTCATCGAATATCTTTTTGATTTAGACATAAATTTATTAAAAAAAAGACTTCTTTATATATTCGCAGCAATGAATGGAAATATGGTGTGCAGTGGATGCTCGGGCAGGACATCGCTGGCAGTACGGTGGGTGTGGTGGGACTGGGCGGCGTCGGTCAAGCGGTCGTGCGCAGACTGAAAGGATTTGATGTCGCTCGGTTTCTGTACTCAGGACGTAGTGATAAACCTGAAGGTGAGACTGTTTTTACTATGTGACCCATCATTGTAATCCAAAAGTATAAAACAGCATCCATTAACCACACAGGGTTGGCCCACAGCATGAACTTACCATCAGGGTGCTCGTTCGTTACTCATATTCAATAAAAAAATGGAATAACGGTAATAAATTAACATACAGTGATGGTTAATGAATGCTGATTCCCTATATCTATTCTCGATTAATAATCAAAATGTAGATGCATTGACACCTCTGAGGACGAAATTGGAATGCACCGTTTCCAGTAAAATGAGTCTCCGGTTCTATATATACACTCACCATACGAAACAAAACAGGACTAAGCTGCTATTTTCACTCTGGTATTCTGTGAAAGCATGGTCCTTCCCTGGTCGAATCGACCTTTTCGTGCTACAACAATATGCTGCTGTAGCATAACCCTACCACGTATAGTAGTAGCTCTGAGAAAGCCAAATTAGAGTAAGATATTTGAATTTCTGTCCACAGCTAAGGCTCTAGGCGCAGAGCGGGTGCCCCTTGAGCAACTGTTGAGAGAGAGCGATTACGTACTGCTGTGCTGTCCGCTGACCAGAGAAACCAAGAATCTCATCAACGCCGAAACCTTGAAGATTATGAAGAAAAACGCAGTGCTTATTAACATAGGGCGAGGAGGTGTGTTATGTGTTCATACTTTTATTTATTAACCCTTGTAGATTTTCTTGACCTCTTAATTATAAATGCATCCATTAAACCAATATAAAAGGACAGCCTCCTTGATCTAATTGTCGTAAGCGATTTCTAATCATGTGGTCACCGTTTCCACGCCCAGGTCGGGCTAAAATCAATTATTGTATTTTTATTCCTAGAAGTGCTGCGAAATGTCATCGAACAGCTTTGGACACAATAGAAAGGCGAGCTAAGGAGCTTACTGGTGAAACCTTATCATATCTTACCAGCCTCGAGCACAGGCGCAATGTAGCCAGCCTTTCGGTGTTTTACAGGATTCATTTCGGAGATTGTGCGCGAGGGATTGCATGACATAATTCCTCCCTCTCCATTCCATAATCGGATCACCAGATGCTCGTCTGTTCTTTACTTCCTTACTTCTCTTTACAAAGGGTTGTTGTCGACATAATGTCCTCCAGACCGAATTTCAACTGTCTGGATCTGGAGGGACATTATTCATTATTATAAAAAGACTAAGTTGAATTACTCAATAGAAAGCGCATGGAAAATAACACGACATTATGCTGTGTTGACTTTTTATTTTGCAGATGCATTGCCGGCCTTTTAAAAAAGATTAGGCTCATTTCTTTAAGGTCCCTAAGTCGTATCGGTCCGGAAAAATCGATTCCACAAGGAAGTTGTGCGAGAAAGAAAACGTCTTGTAAATCGTACAGTGGATCGACCGCCAATAATCCAGATGGTACGGATGATATTGCGAGTTTTATCGCGATGTGCGATGGTGAAATATAGCGGCTGGAATTAGTTCGAACAATTCCTCTGAGCACTCGCTGTGGTAGATGCGATAAAATACGCAAAGAGATGCAACAACTCTTCGCAGCGTCAGTGAGTCAAGCCGATCATAAATAGCACGGCGGCCACCACTACCCTCAACCGCAGCCAACTGCACTAGCCATCAGCGCAGGACAAGATTATAGTGGCCTCTCAATAGAGAGAGAATACCCTCAATCTAATAGACCGTTGGGACGGCAAACAGACACGACCGGAAAGAGATTCAACAGCTTGACGTGCTTACACAACCGACGCATTATCAAAACACCGACTGATCCATAGAGTAAAGCATAGTCAGAGAGAGAGTAGTATCCAAAGAGTATAAAATCACTACATTTTAGATTATATTTTGTATTTTGTATATAATCTCTGCCACTAGTACCTAATAGTGTTCTGTGATCTACTGTGATCATAGGATAATAGATGAAAAATTATTTATTCGAGTTTCTTGGCTAGCATGGAAGATCATAGAAACCACCCATAGTTGCATGGAAGCATGAAAGTAATTACAGACCTACTACACGTGTATGGAAGGCACAGAATACATTAGATTGATGGTAAGCCTTTTGACGTATACAATGTATGTATACATCCAAAATTTTGGTCACGGCAGCCAGCCTCAACGGAGACGAGCCATTGGTGCAGGATAGGATTATAGTGCCCAAATGTATGCGCAAGCACAGGCGCACTCTCTATTCCCTCACTCTCATAGTCCGACGGGATGGTAAGCCGACATGACCGGAGAGAGATTAGCCGCAGAACCAATGGCTTTACGTGCTTTCCGAGGAACGAGGGTAAGACACCGCCAACTTCCTGACTCCAGGCAGCTACTAAGAATTTCTTGATGGAAAAACTGAATAAATGATTTTTTGGCCCGACCCGGGATTCGAACCTGTGACTTCATGATCAGCAATCGCGTTTGTGAACTCTAGACCAATGAGGCAGTCACATAATACGACATATCTTTATACACAATAAGGCAAATGTCACAAAATCTACGAAAAGCACAGGAGAGGCGCTTGCAGTTTTGAACTATACAATCTCTACACAGTTGTATTTAAATTATTTAATCAAACCTTTTTATTTGCAGGTATTGTAGACAATGACGCATTATACAATGCTCTAAAGCAAGGACAAATTTTCTCTGCCGGCCTTGATGTCGTGGACCCCGAGCCAATTTCAAAAGACCATCCACTTTTATCGCTGCCTAATTGCTGTAAGTATTGGCTAGAAAAAAGTATACAAAAGTTCGCGCAGTTCTTAACAGTGGTAGAGCCACGCACCTTTTGCTGTTGCACGTATGGACCGGCTCGAGCCGGGGTGGTACCACGGCCTCACAGAATACCGGTATAAAATGGAAGCTCTTTTTCTGCGTTTCGTCTGGTGAATGTAAGTGGCCAGAGCCCCCCCCCCTCCCCCCATCAACATAGTGGAGGAATCAAATGTAAGTCTCCCCAGGAGGGTACCAGCACCCATGGAGATTCCCTCGCTGAGCATCCACGACAAAGCTACTTCACTCCTGAGCGTGGGTGCTCAGGCTGCCCCGTGTATTCGGGATGGGGGGAGGAGCAAAATTTCGCTCAAGACAATAACTTCACTCGAACCTAAATGCCGTCCACTACCATCTCGAGAGCGAAGCCGGCCTTGCTCTTTCTGACCGAGACGCAGGTGTCCTCTCCGGCTAATACTTCGTATCGAGAGGACATCTGTTCTCGACGCCTCGGCAGTCTTGAAGGTTCGGACCTGTCCATCCTTTTGCTACGCGTAGACAGCGATGACCATCCGCGCGTCTACGGGTGCCTCTATAGGTCCCATAGCGGTATTGCCCAAACAGACCGATTCATTGACCACGTTCAAATGGCTACAGATTCCTTGCTACCACAGGCCCCATCCTCAGAGATCTTGATCGTTGGCAATTTTAACACCCACCACGCTGAATGGCTCGGTTCACGCTTAACCAATCATGGGAGATCTGTTCATGATTTTGCCTTGGCATATGGTCTGACACAACTGGTTACTTCGCCTACGCGTATGCCAGATGTGGAGGATCATGCACCTTCCCTGTTGGACCTTCTGCTGACCTCTCATCCGGACAGATATCAGGTATCCGTCGACGCCCCTCTTGGCTCCTCGGATCATTGTCTAGTCCGGAGTGTGGTGCCACTCACCCTGAAAAGTTGCTTTCTGCTGGCTGCCGCCGTGTTTGGCACTATAGGTCGGCCGATTGGGATTGGATGCGGTCTTTCTTTGCATCCTACCCTTGGGGCGGGTTTGCTTCTCTCCGGACGATCCCATCGTTGATGTTAATTCTGTTGCAGATGTGGTACTACAGAGTATGGAACTTTTTATTCCTTTCTTTTTGGTGCCCATCGGAGGCAGATCTCAGCCATGATTTAGTCGCTCCTATAAAATAGTATCATGCTACAAGCAGGAGTGCTACCGGGCCTGGGCTGACGCATCAACGTCCCGGGATGTAAACACCAGCGCCCTTAAAAAGAAGTATAATTCCGCCTCCAGGTCTTCAAAAGAGTCATTACCAAGACAAAGTCAGTGCACATGGGCACACAGCACTAGTTCGCCTTTCTTTGCGAACCCGAGCATTCTGGTCTTTCGCCAAGGCTGTCCAAGGGAACTTCTGTCAGCCATATCTTCTATTTTTGCACAGGAAGTACGATTCACTGGCCCATACCGCAAAGGAGAAAGCCGATCTGCTAGGCTCTTTCTTTGCGTCCAACTCGACTCTCGATGACAGCGGGAACACACCGCCGGCCATCACGCGGTGTGAGTGTTCCATGCCGGAGCGCTCGGTTCTCAAAGCACTCCTTTTCCCGGACATCCACAAATCGAGTGGGCCTGACGGAATCTCTCCAATTGTGCTGAGGACGTGTGCTCCAGAGTTTGCACCGGTTCTAATGCGTCTTTTCCGGTACTTCTACTCCCTAGGCGTAGTCCTGAAATCATGAAAGACGGCTTTTGTCCGCGTTATATGTTCTCGAAATGTAAAAAGTATCTTTAATCACTATACTATAGTATATCTAATATTATAACCTATATAAAAATAATATTAGCTATCCTGACAGATGTTATTCTGCCCTTTTCGGGTGTACGCTATGGTTTTACAGGAGAATTATAAAATTAAATAATAACTCGATCAAAACTACAAAATTATTGTTTACATGAGTAATTTTGGTTTTAAATTAAACAATTTGTTTTAAATTTAATTACAGCGCCGCCTATCGGATCTTAGCATACTTATGAACCATCGTCTTGACAAAAATAATATGTGTGTATGTTACTCAATCGGTCTAGTAGTTCAGAATTTATACAATCACTTACATGCACTAACGATTGTTCCAGCTTAGTTTGTATCATGAGTACATTCTTATATGTATATACCATTGAGTTATATGTACTACGCACTAGAGAAGCCTTACTAAACAAAAAATATGTACTACTCTATGTCTTCGCGCATAGAGTAGTACACAGCGCGTTGCTCTTGCGCGGTCAGTTTATATAAAGAAACTAACTGTTCCCCGCGACTTCGCCCGCATGTAATTTAGGGTTTTTATTTTTTTGCGAGGAACCCTAATTATTTTTCTAAAATAAAAGTAGCTTAAGTTACTCCTTATGACATCAGCTATCTGCCAGTGAAAGTCCCGTCAAAATCGGTCGGGCGTTTTCGGAGATTAGTCGGAACAAACAAACAGACAGACAGACAGACAAAAATTTTATAAAGTGTATTTTTGTTATAGGTACCGTTCATACTTTCCTATGCATTTAGTAAAACACTGTAATTTTAACATTACAAACATACACTTCAATTTTATTTATTTGTATAGATATATTTTTTCATGTTTTTTTCTTTTGTAATATTACGATATTATTACCTATTTATTCCCTTGAACAACAAATAATTTTACTTACTTGACTACTGAATTGTTATTTACGTCCAGGTTTAAACTTTAATTTTAAATCTAGTATTATTAGCGCCGCTCCACACTGCATGAATATTGAAACCACAGACTAACTAGTAGATTGAAACCACACTAAATGACACACTGTACGGATTGCAGTACAGTTCAGTTGAACATAGTGTATGTTTGGAAAGCGCAATCTAGTACGTAGTACATATATATTGATGGTATATACATATATATTTAAAGATAACTTATTATTTTTCGTTACAGTTATTATACCGCATATGGGTAGCGCAACAATCGAAACCAGAAATGCAATGGCTACCATATCCGCCAATAACATACTGCATGCGTTGGAGGGAAAACCAATGGTGCATCCAGTAACATCTTAATCAATATACCGATAGTTTATTTTACTTACATCACTAGGAAAGGATAAATTTAAAAGTATTTTAATGTTATTAGTTATCTAAAAGTTAAAAAACTTGAACAAATGTTATAGAGATTAAAGACTTGTTTTTCAATATGTTTTTTTTTTCATTCATCTCCTTTATTCCTCCCTTATGGATTGTCTCACAGGACAGTACGAATATTTGTCGTTGTTGCCACGCATGGCAGGCAGGTTGACAATGCGGTTTTTTTTTATGTTTGATTTGACAGGAGGATGCTGCTGCCCATCTTCTGTTTCATTTCCCTCTGCCGCCTCTTAGGTCGCATTTCCACCTGCTGCTGCTGCTGCCACCAGGAACACTCACGGAACTCTTGCATAAGTTTCTTACTACCGTTTTCATAATATTATGGTATGAATTCTTGCAATTTTTTTTTCTGCAATAAATATCTCATGAGAAGCTTACTAATCATGCAATCGCAACTTATCGGTATCGCAGAAGTACGAGTGTTAATTAATACACAACAGCTACAGATATCGCGAAGGTTATGGCAATTTAGTTTAGTGTTTTTGCTTGTTGCAGGTGGAAACGCGGTCTTAGAATTTATAGGCTTTATCCCATGTTATGTATATTACCCCATAATTATAGGATTTAAAAGAGTTGTTGTACCCATAGATGTGACAACCCTATTTTTTCTGCGGCTATTCATGGAGGAATTAATACTATTTGCATGTGGTGTATACCAAATTCGCCAGGCCCGTACATATGTGGGTCAGCATTTCCGCTTTCATGGAATATATACATTAGAGGTATCCCGAGAGAGAATACATGATTTAGAGGGAATAAACCTAATGTTGCTCGTGCTAAAATAAAGTTCCGCCATTTTTCTGCTAAAACTTATTTTGTATTTATACTTAGTTGCAGAAACAAACATGAATGGTCGCGACGCAATCAGAAGTTATTGCTCTAACTGCACTGTAGGTTTAAAAACAGTGGGATGCTGCTCTCATGTGATGAGCATTATTTAGTACCTAAGCTTGCCATGAGGGCTGCATCCTTCTTAGATGGAGTAAAGAATTGACTTATTATATGTACAATAGAATAAATGTACTTACAAAAACAAAGTATTGTTTTATTTACCTACTCTCAAAACCCCATCAAAACTGCATCATAATCAAAATGTTGCAGTCCGCTGCTGGATATATATAAGTATTTCGTAATGCACCCCGCTGAGTAGGTACGATCCTCATCTCAATCTACCTACTTAATGGTAAGTAAAACACTATAAAGTAAAACACTACAAGCAATCTAGAATATTTACTTTATCACCAAAACTATGTTTATGTACATACAGCGTAACAATCTACATAGGTACACTAGTACTTAACCTTAAAAAATAAAAATGGTTTATATAACTTTTACGTCCCAAGTTTTAAAAATCTAAGAATTTAAATAGGGCTTGTCTATCCTACTAGCTGCAAATTAAAACAAAAAATATCCCAAAACACGAAATTTTTTAGCTGTACGAAATTCCCATACAAGTCTGCCGTTCTCTTTTATTTTATAAGATAATTAAAATAAAATTTTAATTGAGAGAAATAGTGTGATAAGAGAAAAGTATGGTTTGCAAGATGACGTTGTGATCAGGATTAAGAAAGGAATGCTTCGGTGGTTTGGTCATGTAGAAAGAATGAAAGAGTGACAAAGCAAATTTATGTTTCAGAAGTGAACGGCAGAGTCGGGAAGGGACGCCCTAGACGAAGATTTATCGATCAAATCGGCGATACATTGAAAATGGGCCAGATTAGGAGTACCCTTAACCGACGAGCGTGTATGCGTAGATATATGGACGTAAAGGAGGCGATAGACGTGTATCAGGATCGCGCCAAATGGAAGTCCGTAGTCTCAGCCTACCCCTCTGGGTGACAGGCGTGAGTGTGTGAGTGTTGTGTTTTATTAATTAACATAGACTATTTTTATACAGACGCTTATTAAATACATATCACTAAGGGAGGTAAACTAGGGAATGAACTTTTTAATGTAAATATTTAATACTTTGTAATGCGACTGATCTTAAAATGTTCCAAGAGCTGAGGCGTATGCTGCTCTTTCCATTTAATCTTTTTTATCTCGAGCACCTAAAAGTTATAAAGAGATTTGTACTGCAGCGCCTATTGCTTCATTATTTTCAAGTACCTCCCCTCTCAGATACTACTTCAATAACGGCAATAGATAAAAATCCTTATCGCTAGATGCAAGGTCTAGTGAATATGGAGAATCCTCAATGCTCAAGTATATCAAAATCAGCATCACGAATTGCAGCCAGCGCAACGTCGGATTTGTGAGCCAGGGTGTTATCTTGGTGAAACAAAACGATCATTGCGAATTAGCCTCACCGTTCTTCTTGGATTTCTTTGTGCATATTTTTTATTTGTTTGCATACAAAGTGCTTGTAAGAGCTCTTTGATCAAGATATTCAATAATTACTTTTCCTTGACTATCCCAGACATGAGAGCCCAAGATATTGCCGGACTTGATTTGAATTTCTAACAAGTTAATTGGAATGATGGTCTTTACAAGTCGATGTCCATTTTTATATACCGAGCCAAAAACAACCAGGATCTTGTTCCAACAGTTTGCAAACAGTTTGTACCGAAGCTCATTTTAACTGACTTCATAAAAGGATGGTTATGTTCTCGTTTATATGTATATCTTTGCGGAATGTAAACCTTTATTGCTCTTTTTAAATAGGTTATACATCATGGGTATATTTAAATTTGTAAACAAAATAGGAATGAAATTTAAACGTGGTAGAGCCATGCTACAGCTATATTAATTGTAGCACGAATGGGTCGGCTCGACCGGGGAAGGACCACGCTCTCACAGGATATCAGCGTAAAATAGCAGGTTAATGCTGCTGTGTTTCGAATGGTAAATGTAGAGAACCGGAGCCCCTTTTAACTGGAAAAAAGGCATTCCATCTTAATCATCACGGCTGACAACGCATCTGCATTTTGATTTGCGAATGAGGACAGATGTAGATGTCTATGGGCCACAGCATCAACTTACCAAGGTGGACTGTGTTCTCGCTTGTCACCTTTATCATATAAAAAAAAGTTAATGTATGTACCTATTACCTAATTATTTAGACGAGATTCTAACTGTTACCTTGAGCTTGTAATGTTGCTTAGTCCACTCAAAAAGGTGAAATAATTCAACTTCAAAAATAAAGTAAAAACTGACTTCAAAAATTAATTAGTCGCAGTTTTTCGATACACTATCTTAGTATTAGCATCTACTTTGGAGGTTATTAAATTATGAGGAAATTATGTACCTAATTTATTCTTTCAAGATTTTTAGAGCCGTGGTTAGCGCTCGCTGTAAATCTATGTAGTACGCGAGCAACCCGGGTTATCCCCGCCAGCACCAATGAAAATGTTAATTGCAATTTTAAGTGCTGATTTACCACGTGCTCGGTGGTGAACGAAAACATCGTGAGGAAACCTGCATGTCTAAGAAATAAAAAAGAAAATATATTTCAAAGACATGTGAAATTCGCCAACACGCATTGGGGCAGCGCGGCGGACACTTCCTTGCCCTAAAACCCTCTCAGAAATGAGGGGAGTGGCAGCCAGCAGTGGGATGTATATAGGCTGTAACTTTAATTTTTTTCAAGATATTCGAAGTCGGCTTTTAGTATTTTTTTAAAGTTTAGTTCATTCTATTTTGAACGCTCCTTGTATCCCACTTTACATATAGAAGTTTTTGTAGTTTTAATAACAAGCTGTTCAAGATCGAATGTAAAAGTAGAGGTCAATGTATTTGTAAAAATACTACATGAATTCTATTACTGATCGTTAGTTCGTTGGTCAGTTTAAAGCTTGGCCTTGTCCGGTACGGCCGCCGAGAGTAGCCATACTCTCTTAATAAGTCACTATTAACAGATAAAGCGTTTGTTATCAAAACGATTTTTTTTTTGCAAGATAACTATGTGTCAAGGAAATCTACAAACAATGCTGGGTCTAATATTTATTGCGGCAGTCATTCATACATCATCGTCGGCGAACGTCGCGTCAAATACAAACATGACAAAATCACTAAAAGTTTTAGTTTCATCTAAAGATTTCCCCGAAAGTGGAATGCAGGTTTTAAAAGAACAGTACGTATATTTTTAATTTTCATATTTGATTTCAATGGCAAATATTTTTTTATTTCTATCAATTTTCCTTTCCAATATATTTCGAGGTTACCTACATTGTATTTGTTGAGATGTAAAAGAGCAGTTATGTTTTTATTTTATTACAAATATGTTTTAAGAACTGAATAAAATAAAACCAATAAATAAAAATATAGTTACCTCAACTGAAAAAAAAATTTGACAATAAAATATATGGTGATCGTATTCAGGTATTTAGTGTTGTAGTTTTGATGAACAGTAGGCATGAGTCCGATATATCAAAACGTATTAACTAAAAACGGTTACACATAATAAAACATATTATATCGATACTACTTTTACGGATTATATCGCGTTTAATTAACTTATTTTAAGTGAAATAAGTTAAATTATGTAATAAGATAATTAAACGCGATAGAATCCGTATAAGTAGTTTTATTCAATATGTAGTGTTCGCGTAAATATAACAAATCATACAGTCTCATAACGTAATACCATATCCATATCCATTCCGTTCCGCGACGGAGCAACTTACGAACGTACAACGTACGACGAAGCAAATATCTAGTAGGTCGATTGAACCTACTAGATATTCGCCACCTCTCTGTCTGATGACCCTGCCAGTCGTAAAAACGAGACAAGGCGTATATCGAGTGTGTTTATCGTTAGCTGGTTTGATTGGCAATCGAAATGTGAACGCGAAAACTTTAAGATATCACCTACTTTAAATTAAACTTTCCTGTAACATGGTAATGAAAGCACATGCTGTTTTTTTTAAAAAATTAGTTTTGTTTTGAACATTCGAACTTATAGTCGATCACTGGCA